CTCCCATATGGAATTTTGCATATATATATATTTTTTTAATTTTACTTATTCATGAGAGACACAGAGAGAGAGGCAAAGACATAGGCAGAGGGAAAAGCAAGCTCCCCATGAGTCCCAACCCGTGTGGGACTTGATCCCAGGACCCCGGGGATCACTCCCTGAGCCAAAGGCAGACTCTAAATCACTGAGCCACTCAGGTGCCCTTATATATATTTTTATATATTATCTATCTTCTATGGGCATTTTTAATCCATTTAAGCAAATATCTGCAATCCCCCTCACCCTGTGGCTCATTCCACTGCTCAACTTTGGCCTAAAACCAACAGGAATTCTTTACATGAGGTAGAGACCTGACGGATTCCCACAGTGACTCCAATCCAACACTTTTTCATTTTCTCCTTCATATTAGGCAGGAAACACTAAAATTCTGGGAACAAGATCTGTGTCACACATTGGAAATGTTTGTGTCTGCTGATAACACTCAATCTACCTTGGCTAAATGCATGAGGAAGCCACATGGTCACAATCTAATAGAACATAGAACATAACTAATACACTGAAGCAACATTCCACATGTTATCACTTTCAGCTTTGCGCAACATGTGGAAACAGGCTCATGTACCACTTAGTTGTGTCAGAAAATCTAAGAGAGAAGAATGCATGTTTGGGATTTATTATGGTCACTCACCTCAGGAAAGTGTCCAAAGGAGTGCATTACAACCTCCACATGCCTGAATGTTACAGATTTCTTTTTTAAAAGGAGGATTGTCTGAGATGTATTTATCTTTCAGGTACTTGGACTATTTGTACAGCTCTGGTTGTTTTGTTTTTGTTTTTATTTGTTTGTTTTTTGTTTTTTTAAAGATTTCATTTATTTATTCATGAGAGACACACAGAGAGTGGCAGAGACATAGGCAGAGGGAGAAGCAGGTTCCATGTAGGGAGCACAATGTGGGACTCGATTCTGGGGCTCTAGGATCATGCCCTGAGCCAAAGGCAGATGCTCAACCACTGAGCCACCCAGGCATCCCACTCTGGTTGTTTTGAATACTTGAAAGCAAAAGGTACCAGTAACTATCAATGAGAAATTATTTTAGAAAAGAAAAAATAAAACTGCTCTTTTTATAAGTATTGCAGCATTTGTATGAACTCAAATTACTGTGTAATTTTGTTTTGTCCTCTACCATCTGTGCCTCCCCATCCCCTAAAGTAACAGACATCATCTTCTGTTTTATTTACCTCAACTATTCTATCCAAGTTATAAGGCTCAAGTTCATCAGCCTCTTGGTCAATAATTTTTCTCATGCTAAAGAAAAAACATGATACAAATTAGGAATTCATATAAGACAGAAAAATAACAGTAACATCATCAAAATCCCAAAATAATTTACCCAAGATAAATGGAGCTCAATTTTGAGAGTTTAGCAGTTGAGATAAATGAACATTACAGCATTATATAGTCAATTTCTATGTAAGAAAGAAAACAAATTCAAAGGACATTAAGTTGGGATCCCTGGGTGGCGAAGCGGTTTGGCGCCTGCCTTTGGCCCCAGGCGCGATCCTGGAGACCCGGGATCAAATCCCACGTCGGGCTCCCGGTGCATGGATCCTGCTTCTCCCTCTGTCTGTGTCTCTGCCTCTCTCTCTGTATGACTATCGTAAATAAATAAATAAATAAATAAATAAATAAATAAATAAATAAATAAATAAATAAGAAAGACATTAAGTTGAATGCTTAATTAAACCCTTTTCTTAAATTCCTTTTTATTTTTTTAAGATTTTATTTATTCATGAGAGACACAGAAAGAGAGGCAAGAGACATAGGCAGAGGGGAGAAGCAGACTCCCTGCAGGAAGCCTATGCAGAACTCAATCCCAGGACCCCGGGATCATGAACTCGATCCCAGGACCCCGGGATCACGACCTGAGCCAAAGCAGACACTCAACCACTGAGCCACCCAGGCGCCCCCCCTTTAAATTCCTTTTTATCAGTAATCAAACATTCAATGCATTCCTCACAACAAGTAAGGCAATGTGTCAACAACTAAGATACTTCATTCATAGCCAGAAGCTACATCATCTCTAGTCTAATTAACAAGGAAACAAAATCTCTCCAGAGAAGCAAATCTGTCTCACTAACCTAAGCAGACCTGGGTCAGGTGTCTCAGAAATGACCAACTTGATCACTGGTTGTAAGGTTAAAATAATAATGACCATATACACTAATCAATGCACCAGTAAACTCCATAAAATAAAGGAAATCCAGGAAAAGTGCTATAAGACCAACTTCACAACACATGGGCTTCAAATATGCAAAGAATATCTCCCTATCCCAAAGTTTTCATTGTCTTTAAAAAAATAAATAAATAAATACAAATCAAAAGAAGCCTGATAGCCTAATAAAGAAATTGTTTCCTAGCAATTAAAATGCTTTCCTACTTTACATCTAGTGATATAAATATTTTGTATTATTTTAAAAGATGAGCTCGAGAAGGAAGGGAATTGGTATACCCTCTAATAGCCACATCTGTAAATTTATACTAATGCCATCCCAATGGCTGTTCTCACACTAAATGAAAGAAGTCAGCTTTAGATGTTAACCATGAATATTTGAAAAAAAAATTCTTATCCAAATTAACTGTTCTTTAAAAACCTATTTTGTCAGTCAGGCCAACTATCAAAATCATTTCTTCCAACAAAATGAAATTGTTTTAATTATCTGATGCCCATAACTACTTTTTATTTTTATAAAAATGAGAAAAATGTGTCTTACTGGGATGCCATCACCCACAACATAATATAGACTTATTCAGAATACCTTACCTTCTAGGAAATTTAAAATGTGGTAACTATCCAAATAGCTTCATTTAAAATCATTTCAGCCCAAACCCAAAACCCAAGAAAAATCACTTTGATGCAAACATTTCATTTCACTCCCTGTAAAACCCAACATAAAGCTAGATTCTCCATGACATAGTCCTAAATGACATTTCGTTGCTACAGCAACGAAACTCTGCTACCTGTGGCCATGATTTGTTAAGAATTCCTCCAACCAGTAAATTCTGTGCTGTGCATTCATAAAACCAAAAGAATGACTAGAATGGCTCAATGCAACATAAAAATTAAGGTCTAATTTCCTACTTGTGATTCACCCACACACATATTTATAACATATATCATGCATATACACATATATATGTAATTATGGTTCTCCCAACTCCATGAAAAAGGGGAAAAAAAATCACACCAAATTTCCATTTTAAAATGAGCATCAAAAAACTGCTTTGTTTTAGATTTCAGTGAATAACGCCTACCTGTTTCTCAAAATTTATCTTAAACGGTACTAGGAACTATCTGGAGAGAATTTTTATTTCTTATTTTTTTTTAAAAGATTATTTATCTATTCATGAAAGACACACAGAGGCAGAGACACAGGCAGAGGGAGAAGCAGACTCCCTGCAGGGGAGCCTATGCAGAACTCAATCCCAGGACCCCAGGATCATGAACTGAGCCAAAGGCAGACACCCAACCATGGAGCCATGAAGGTGTCCTGGAGAGAATTTTTAAAAATGAAAATTTTGTTATTTATATCCATTCTCATTCCAAAAGGGGGAAAAAAATAAACGTGAGGTATAATTTCCTATCTGCTCCATTAAGTGTGGCTTCTTTGGCAATGAAGTGATTTAGAAAATATAAAGCTGGAGCATAAAAAAAAAAAAAATGTAGTTGTCACCACCTTTATTCACCAAACTGCTTCTGCAGGCTACTCACCCTCACCGGGGGACTCCAGGCTTGCACCCGTGGCTGCTGTCCTCCCTGGGAGCTCTGCAAATCTTTTGAGCTACAATTAGCCACAGGGCTGCTCTGAGCCCTTAATGCATTTGTGCAGTTCATCCCACTGCCCCCACCAGGGCCAGGTTTCCAAGGCCTCTGCTTGATGCCATCCAGAAGTCTGACCAGCAGGATGTTACTTGGAAGCTCCTCAACACCCGAGCCAACAAGAGTCCTACACTCAGGACATCTGAGTTCATTTCGGGAACCTACAATCCCCAGCAAACATCGTTTGCAAAACGTATGCTGGCATGGCAAGACCTTTGCAGAAGCATCAAGCCGCTCTAGACAAACAGGACACTCCAAAAGATCCAACAAGGCAGATTCATCCATCTTTATCTAGTTTACTGAGAAAAAAGCTTCAGAAATGTTCATAGTTCCGTGCATCCCTTAAAGTGACTCATGTAACATCCATTTCAGACTTTGCTCTGGAGTGATGGGGGTGGGGGAGAGAAAAGACAAAAAAAAAAAAATTAGTACTGTTATTTGGGAAGAAGGTTCACAGAGGAGCCAAGAACCAAAGAGTACACAAAAGTGCTTCCTCTGAATAGTGCAGCTTTGCTTTGGAATGTGGTTCCTGAACTCCAAAGTCAACAATTAAAAACAAAATGTGCTTTTTAAACAATTCAAAATTAATCCCTAAAGGTATCTAGGAGTTCTCTGTGCAGAAACAGCTAACAGGTACTATATAGAATTCCTGCAGTAAAATGGGACTTATGAAATGCAATAAAGAACATAATTTCTTCAGCTCTCAAAGTGATATTGGCTGCCTTAATAAAGTCTCCAATACGTATGAGAAGCCGAACAGAAGCAACGGAAAGTTTCCTCTACCTGAAATTACTTTTAAACCCAACAAACCTCCCAATCTTTAAGCCACTTTAGTGTTTGAGAAACCGTGCCTCGCGTGATCACTTGTGGTTGATGATCCCAATACCAAATACATAGGTTTCTTCGCTGGTCTTAAAAATAGAACTGTTTCATCTTGCCCCAGCAAAACGAGCCGAAGGTTGACAATCGGAGAGGACACAACTGAAGGTTCGTCTGAGAGCAGCTGAAATATAAAAGCACCCTTCAGAGCAGTGGCTGACAAACTCTGAAACATATTTCTGAACAGCTTGTCCTGATCCCATTCAGAAAATCTGGCAAAATCATCGCCCAAAGAATTCGACAATGGAATGCTGGGCTGAAAAATGGGCGCATCCTATGAAAATGGGGCCATTCAGGAAAAAGCACCGAAGCCAGGGCCCGCGCCGCTCGCCCCGGCCGCCAAAGCAAGTGTCAGCGGGAACGCCCGGGAGAGGAGGGAAGGAGGCTCCGGCGGAGGCGTCAACAGCTGCTGCCCACCGGGTCGGGGGGCGCCAGCAGGTACAGGTGCCGCAGGCCCGCGGACACGCCCCAGGGCCAGGTGCCGGCGCCGAGCACGGGGCCCCAGGCCGGGCGGGAGCCGGGGTCTCCGTCAGCAGCGCGCTCCCCACCGCGCTCCGGCTCAGGCCGGGCACGAAAACGCCCCCGAGCGCCTGCTGGAAGTTTTCAAGGGCTCAAGCACAAATCCGCAGCCCCCCGAAGTGCGCCGGGAGACCTCCGTGCCGCCGCGGGGAGGAGGAGGCGGAGTCCCCGGGGAGTCCGGGCCGGCGGGCAGCGGGAGACCGCGGGCCCGGGCCCGGGGCGCTTCCGGCCGGGGCTCGGAGGCCGCGAGGAGCGAGGCCGCGGCCACGGGGCCGGGCGGGGGACGGAGGGGGGGGGCGCCCCGACCACCCCTCCGCGGCCGCCGGGTGTGCCCGCCCCGCGCCCCGCGCCCTACCTCGCGCCGCGGCTCCTCCTCTTTGTTCGCGGCCCCGCAGCGGCGGCGGAGACCGAGGCACGGGCGGCCCCGCCGCGCCCGCCGCTCGCAGGGTCTCTGACGCGGCGGCGGCGCCCGGAGACTCCTCGCCGCCGCCCCACTCACGCGCGCACGCCGCCGCCACCTCCCACTTTCCCAGCCGGGAGGGCGGGGGAGGGCGGGGGGGAGGAGGAGGAGGAGGAGGAGGAAGAGGCCGAGCCGCGGCGGGCGCCCGGGGCGGGAGGGGGCGGCCCCGCACCACAGCGCCTCCCCCCGGGGCGGGCGGGGCACCTCCGGGAACTGCGGGGCGGGCGCGCCCTCCTCCCCGCCCAGGTCCCTGCCCCGGGCCCAGGGGGCGACCCCGCACCACCGCGCCCCGCCCCGGGCAGGAGGGGCGACCCCGCACAGCTGCGCCCCGCCCCCGGGCAGGAGGGACGACCCTGCACAGCTGCGCCCCGCCCCGGGCACGGGGGGGCGACCCCGCACCGCTGCGCCCCGCCCCCGGGCACGAGGGGGCGACCCCAAACCACCGCGCCCCGCCCCGGGCAGGAGGGGGCGACCCCGCAACCACCTGCGCCCCGCCCCGGGCACGAGGGGGCGACCCCGCACCACTGCGCCCCGCCCCCGGGCACGAGGGGGCGACCCCAAACCACTGCGCCCCGCCCCCGGGCACGAGGGGGCGACCCCAAACCACTGCGCCCCGCCCCGGGCACGAGGGGGCGACCCCAAACCACCGCGCCCCGCCCCCGGGCACGAGGGGGCGACCCCAAACCACTGCGCCCCGCCCCCGGGCAGGAGGGGGCGACTCCAAACCACCGCGCCCCGCCCCGGGCACGAGGGGGCGACCCCAAACCACCGCGCCCCGCCCCGGGCACGACTGGGCGACCCCGCACCGCCGCGCCTCCCCACCCCGTACCCCCGCCGCAGGCGCCCCTTCCTCCCCGCCCAGGTCCCTGCCCCGCCCGCCCCGGGCACTAGGGGTGGCGGCCGGAGGGGGCGCTGCGGAAGCCGCGAGCCCAGGAAGCGGGGTCCCGGGAGCGAGGGAGGTGGGCCGTTCGTGAGGGAAGCTGGCCTGGACGATGAAGCCGCGGGGAGGCGGGGCGGGGGTGGGGGGGAGCGTTGGGAGTGGCGGGGAGTGAAGAGGGAGACGCCACCGGGCGGGGCCCACGTCCTCCTCCTGCCCGGGGGTGCCCGGGGGTGCCCGGGGCGGGAGGGGCGCGAGGGGAGAGGGCCGGGGCCGGAACGGACCTCACCTCCTTGGCGGCTGTCCGCCCGGCGCTGTGGAGACGCTTGGTGGAGCGAGCGTGGGGTGCGGTGCGTGACCCCGAGGCCCGAGAGAGGCTCCCCTGTGTGGGAGTCACAGGGGGACAGCCCCGGGGCAGCTGTCCGTCCCCGGCATCACGCGGCCTCCCGGGGCACAGACCTCAGCAGACCCAGAGACAGACCCGGAGGGCAGAGGCGAGGATAACAGGTGTGCGGGGCTGCTGTTACACCTGCCCTCCTGGGGACGGCTCAGGGTGACCCCGGGGCGGCCGGCCCCGTCCAGGCCCGCTCACAGGCGCCTCTTGCCTCCGAGCCTGGGAGCAGCCCGAACCACCGCTGTGATCTTTGCTTCGGTTGCCCCAGGCGCACACCTGTAAACTCTGAAATGTAGTTTTGAAAAACATGTCCACAGGTTTTGAGATGTGTCTTTCAGACTCGATTCAGAGGGGAACACAAATTAAAATGTCATTATCCCAACGTTGTCACAATGTGACTTGCACGTACCATCAACTTAGAAAAAGTTATCCCAAATATCCTTCCTCCAAGGGGTGCAGAAACTAGATGAAAATAAGAAGGGTTCTAGAGAGATCTTGTGAGAAATCCCTGCTTGGCCAGCAAACAGGATGACGTTCCGAAGGGGAGCCGGATTATTCTCGTCTCCACCCAGGCCACGGCTGAACTATTCAAGACCAATGAGATCACTTACCTAAGAAAAACCTGATAGTTCATGATTATATATCGTTCGCTGTATGATCTAAACATCCATTAATTCGATCCTTACGCAGTCTCAGACCTCATCATGCCTTAGCTTTGTTTTAAATAGATTAATATGCTGAGAGTCCTATTGTGTGAATACCAGGAATAACAGCCCACTTCCCCTTCCATTAGAAGTGAGCAAATACACATGCATTTGAACTGAGAAAGCAAGGAAAAGAATGAACGTGGTGGAGAATTTTTAACAATAATCGACAAACAAAGCACTCTGAAAGTGGCTACATAGCCTGTATTCTTCTGTATCTGGACTATACTGATGATAGTGGGGCTGGCTGGATACCATCACAGTCAACAAACAGGTAAATATGAGTACATGCAGTGTACAGTCTTTAAAACCGAAGTCCAGATAGGTTCGTTTCACCCCCAGGTCACACAATCAGTAATGCTGAACCAAGATTCAACCTCGGGCCTATGGATTCCAAGTACCCTTTCTCACAGACCGCCTCAGGCAAAACCAAGTGTACTGTATCTGCTCCCAGGGGAAAGACGACACTGTTCATCATGTATTTACTCTGAAGAGTAATTATTTTGTTCTTATTTTGGGTTTTTTGTTTGTTTGTTTTTAGAGAGAACAGTATAGAAGGTCATGTGTGGAATGGTGCAGCTTGTGAAACTAGGCAAGAAAATCAATTATCACACCCATTATCAAAGAACTGAAGACAGCATACCCAAGACTACAGTGATCAACACGAGCACCCCCGCCCCCAGTCCCACAAATATTATCTGGCTCATGGCTGCAGTTGTATGTCCCTGGTGCTAGTTCGCTATATTCTATAGAACACAAATATTAGCCTTCATTACTCTAGCTAAAAAACTCTTGAGCCATCTCTCTTCTGTTAAGTGGTGAAAAAATAATACCTTTCTTAGTGTCCTTGGAAGAGTCAATGAAATAATGTGTTCATTCTTTGTAATCTGTACATCTCTATTAAAGAAAGATCTCATTATCATTACCTGCCCAGGCAGAGTTAGACTGGGCAAAATCCTTCCTTCCCATGGTCTTTGAAAAGTTTGAGAAACTCAGAATTGCAAAACCCTGTCAAGAGAATACTACAGGGGAAGGAACGGTTGGGGAAAGAATCCAGGAATCCAGGGGAAGGAACAGTTGGGGAAAGAGAAGCATGTTCATCTTATCATTTCTGGGAACTGAACATGAACATGTAAACATATTATACTTAGGGCCCCTGTGACTTTGAGGAGATACAAGAAAAATATAAACACACCCTGTACACAGTAATGATAGCTTCACTTAATATAGTTCTCATCCTCCCAAGACTTCAAAGTTACTTTCACTTACATTATCTCATTTATCTTCTAAGCATCCCTCTGAAGTAGTAAAGATAGATATAATCATTCCCATTTTCAGATGGGAAAAAAATGAGGTGTAAGGCAGCTATTGCTTCTAGTGATAAATTTATGACACAAATCAGGCTTTTGAATTCCCAGACCAGAGCACTCTTTTGTAAGCTTTGGTATCATGCTTAGACATGCATGTTCATACATGTGTCTGATCATCATTTTCCCTCAAAACTTTTTTTTAAGTATAGTGACATTTTAAAAAATATTTTATTTATTTATTCATGGGAGACAGAGAGAGAGAGGCAGAGAAATAGGCAGAGGGAGAAGCAGGCTCCATGCAGGGAGCCCAACATGGGACTTGATCCTGGAACTCCAGGATCACACCCTGAGCCGAAGGCAGACGTTTAACTGATGAGCCACCCAGGCATCCCATCCCTCAAAACTTATCTAGCCCCCAGCTGCAGTGACACTGGGAAATGCAAGCATCGTTTACCCAGTTGTTTAAACTAGAAACCTAGGGGTTGTCTTCGATTTCTCTCCATCCCTCTCCATCAACAAGTCTGCCAGCTACCCCCAAAATATCTCCATTGCACCTTTATTCAAGCCAGTGTGGCTCTTTGTTTCTGGCCCTCCTAACCAGCTTCTCTGCTCCTTTCCATTCCTGTCCCCACAGTCTTGCCCTGAATGTAGGGACACCCACAGCAAAATGCAAAAAATGCATGATAGATCATGTTACACCCCTTTTCAAAACATCAATTTCTTTCTATCATACTTGGAATAAAAATCATGTATCTTTCCCGTTTTTTGAACCCGTGTCACTTGGACTCTACACCATCATGCTCTACCACAGCACTTTATTTATCTCCTTCACAGTACTGTTCAGAATCTCATTCTTTGATTCCTTATTTATTGCCTATTTCCCTTACCTGAATATAAGCAACCTGAAGACATGGACTGGGTCTGTCTTCTTCACCTTGGTAGCCTAGACAGCCAACCATGGTGGGTACCAGTGAATGGTTCTCAAACAAAGAATTAATCAAGTATAGAATCATACATTTTCCCATCCTAAAGCTACAAATATATTAGTGCCTCACTGCCCCAAAGATAGGAAGTCGGGCAATGTTCCAAATTCCATTGAGAGTCTTTCTTAAAAAAAATAATAATAAATAAATAAATAAGTAAATAAAGAGAGAGTCTTTCTTATAATCTATTGGTCAATAAGTTTTTATGTAGAAGATGAAAAGGACACATGATTCTCTTCTCAGTTAAGCTGCAGAAAAAGCTAAATGCCAGCTATGTAACACAGAACATAAATGCAATGCCAGCTTGTCTTCATTCTAAATCTTGGTCACCATCTACTTTGTTTTCCAACCAAGCAGGAAAATTCAGAGTTCTCTCCAGCCCCTCATTTTCCCTCTGCTCCCCCTCCCACCGATAAATGATCCAAAGATCATCAGAAGTGCTTTTTAAATCTGCCCCTTCTCCCAAACCTTATTTTCAGGACTGTTTATCTTCTACCTGAATAGTAAATCCGTCTCCTAGCTTTCAGTCTCTCGAGAGTACTGAATTCTGGAGAGAGTTCTGGAATCAAAAGCTTCTCCATCTACTAACCAGGTGACCTTCAGGCCAGTTTCTAGTCTTCTGTGCCTGACTTTCCTGGTAAAATGGACCTAAAATGACTACCCGCCTCAGGGATTTGTGGAGATTTTACATAAGTTAGAAAAATAGAATGCTTGGAACTATGCTCAACACATGGTAAGTGCTTAATAAATGATGGTTAATATTTTTATTAGAGGGGTGCCTGGGTAGCTCAATCGATTAAGTGTCCTTGATTTCAGCTCAGGTCATGATCTCAGAGTCATGAGATCGAGCCCCAAGTAGGGCTCTGCGCTGGGCATGGAGCCTGTGTAATATCTCCTCTCTTCTGCTCCTTCTCCCTTGCACCTTGCCCCCGTGCCCCACCCTATGCAGCGCGTGCCCGTGCTCACTCACTCTCTTTCTCTCTTTCTCTCTCTCTATATATATATGTACATATTTTTTTATCAGAATCTAGATTCAATTCAGAATCCACTACCTGTTAGCAAAATGACTGCAAATTTCCTTAATTTTCTGAGTTTCTAACTTCCTTATCTATACAAATGAATACACTGTTATCTACTTTGAAAGCTTACTGTAAAAAATTAATGACAAAACTCATTGAAAAAAAGTATGGCACATAGTGGGGACTCAATATAATATTTGTTTCCAGTCTCCGATTCTATGTACATCTGCACCTTTTCTCACATAATTGGAATGATTATCTCTAAGGTTCTTTCCAGCATAAAAAGTATATCTCCATCCTAACTGCATAAAGGACATCTAAGGGCAATGGATTCCTCTTGTGAAGAACCAAGTGGTCTTGAAGCACCCTCATTTATCAGTTAGAGTCAGGCAAAGCCCAAAGAAGTTATTTTGGTCTACGGTAGTGGGAAGGTGGTGCAAACGCCACTGTCTGGCAGAAAATCTGAGCAGATGGAGTATTTATAGGCACTCCCCGAAGATTTCAGTTCAATCAGGATGATGTTAGGGAGAAAGACTGATGAGTGGGAGGTAACTGAACTGAATCTTCCTCCAGCCTTTTTGAAACAGGTCTGAATATTTGAGGAGCTGTTTGACAGCAGAGTACCTGGGGAAGGCTGGAGTGCTCTAAGCTGACTCTAATTCTAACCTGGCCTTCAGGGAGTGGCTCTTGAGGTGTAGTGCAGTCAGAATCACCTACAAAGCTAGTCAGAAATGCAGACAACTTAGCCTCGTTCCTAAAGGTTCTCACTTAGTAGGTGTAGCAGGGGTTAAAGAATCAGGTGATCCTAATGCATGGGATGCTGGGACAACAATTTGAGAAACGCTAGCCAACTGTCATCCAGAAGCACATGAAAAAGAGGTACCCTGGGCATTGACCAAGGAAATTCATCTCCAAAAGGCCCTCTAGAGCTTTGGTGTTGTTGAGAAGGATATGGGAGACTGGAGCCATTGCTGGTTTTCTGAGGACAGAAGAGCCATTGAGTATTTCCACCTCCAGTCTGTATGCCTCTTCACTGCCCACTTCACCATATAGTGTTGTCTCTCCTCTTAGTAAATACTAGACAGATTTTTATT